TGTTTCTTCGTTTTTCTTTCACAAAAGTCAGGAAGCTTAATATTATAAGTAAATAAATATGGCTGTTTACAAAAATAACAGAAAATGACATGTGACATTATTTCTAAATCAAGAAAAAGTTGCGACGTACGTTTCCTCAAGAAAAGTGTACGATCGTCTATATAAATCTTATAAGATAAAATACAAAAATATCTTATCAAAAACTCTAAATATCTTATCAAATACTATCCAGTCCTTATCAAAAACTAGAAATATAATAAACTACTTCCGTGGCCATTCCGTGGCTTAACGTTTTATTTCCTGTAGCATGAACAAATCTAGAATGCAAACCACCACCGACAGGGAATCAAATTAACTGCGTAAGTGACTTACGGCGTAGTCAGGCGGTTTTGCAAACACAGACGAATGGAAAAATGGCTTTGGAAATTCGGTACGCGTAATTCAATGCGGCGGCAAGCTGCTTACTTGAATTACTGGTGGGAATTTTGTTGACTTGAAGCGCTTGGTTTGGATAAAGACGAATAAGTTAATTTACTAAAAGTTTATGGTTTATCAAGAAAATGCGTTCGACTTTATTAGGGGCCTACCTCTGTAATCTTATTAAAAGAGGGAGATGTAAATTTAAAAAACCAAAATTGTCTTATTTATCTATGAGTGTCGCAATCGTTCTGTACCTACTATACTCTACATCCTAAAGGGTCTTCCAATATGCGGTTTCATTTTGGTATGTAAAAAAAACGAGTATTTTTCAGGGAAATCATGGTAGGTGAATGGAAATCATCATAAGTTTATTGAATTGTAAAGAGCATACCCTAGTATGCCATCAATAATGGAAAACAATATCAGTCAAATGGCCGCCACGGCTGCGCTTGCAGGACCATATTATTTTAATGAAATTTTCCATCACCAATTAGCATATTTGCGGCTGTATGTCATCGATAACTTCACAAATTTCATCTTTGAGATCTTGAATTGATTGTGGGCCATTGGCCTATGCCTATGGAAAAGAAAATAATCCAAAGGTCACAAGATCTCGGTGGCCAATTCTGATCGCCACCTCGAATAATCGCACGGTCAGGGAACTTTTCACGCAAAAGAGCAATGGTATCGTTACTTGTGTCACGTAGCGCCGTCTTGTTGAAAATAAATGTCGTCCACATCAATATCTTCCAATTCCGGCCACACAAAATCATTAATCATCGTTCGATAACGCAATCCATTCACTGCAAGTTTCTCCAGCCTCATTTTCGAAAAAGTAAGGTCACAGGTTACACGTTCTTTTTACATATCAGAATGAAATCCCTTATTGGAAGACCCTTTACATTTTTTTCCATTCGACGCACCATCGTCTTATTCCATTACCACCATTTTCCAGTTTTTATAATTTGACTACTTAAGTCAGATAAGAAGGTAATTAATCGGTTCAAGGCGCCAAAATCTAGATTGTTTTAGTTAAAGCTTGAATTCTACATTATATATGATTTTACGTAACTGTACCTAACAATTGAATGTCTTTTGAAGTGAGGAGCGATTAATTCTAGAATTTCTATATTTTTACACTGAAACAGTAGTATAGTCATAGAATTTACTTTGACAAAATCGCTAATACTCAAAGTTCCGTAATACTTGAATACCACACAAACGATGAAATTAATACCGAAGAGTTCGGTGTGCCCAGTAAGAAAACTTCCTACAACTTGGCACAGACCTCCACTATGGAGTCTTAGATAACAAACGCAACGTACTTTAGAAATTACGTAATATACCCGCCACAGGGTGTCCGGGTGGGAATCGAACGATCCATCGCTTAATTCATAAGCAACCGTTGCCCTACCATCGAAAGAAAGAGAAATACGGAGAAAATATATCTGCTATATGCTCTCTTATGGACTAGACAGGAATTATAAAGGAAAACACATCAATTCATTAAGAAATAAAAACTTTTATTATTATCAGTTCAAATATCATATTTACATTTTTTTAAACGAGTAAAAGCACATTGTTTATACATAAAAAAATTATAATAAAAAAAATGTAATTAAACCAGCAGCAGGACATTTTCGTGATAACGTAAATTAATAAAATCAACTAACCTATGAATTAATCATATAAAATTATCATTTAAATCTCATGTACACTGCAGTGTACTTCGGAACTGAAGCCATGGCATCGTATTTAACTAAGAAATTAGTAACAACTAACTGAATTATTAATTACTTATATACACAATTCGTTCCTCAGTCACACTAGTGGAGCCAGAGCGACTTCAACATCAGTTCTTCATTATACAAATGCATATTATTGTTTTGGTTTTCAACAATTGACTTTTTTGCTGTCCCTTCTTTTAACTTAGGGTCGCCTCACATTGTCGCCGTAGTGCTGCGCGACGCGATGATGGATTAAAACGAGCAATGCAATATAAAACTTTATTCTATACAAGATAAGACTACATTTCTTTAAACAAAAAAAAGAAGACGCAACAAGCGGCCGCGGGCGGCGAGCGGGTGACGTCGAGCTGCGCCTGGCGCACTTTATAAAATGCAATATAATATAGAACATATTTTATCTACTGAATAAAGTATACATTCCCTCTAATAAAACACGCAGCGCGGCCTTACTCTTTTGTAATCATTTTTGTTTAGAGAAATGTAGTCTCATTTTACAGGTGCTAAAGTTTCCATTGCATTGCTCATTTAAATTAAGCCTCGCGAGGCCGGCGGCAGTAATCTCAGGCGACCCTTTTCAATATATCGATAGCATTCTAGAATAGTGGCCTATCTTAAAAATATCTAAATTTATAACGAAGACGATTTAAAAAAAATCGCATACCATCCCAATGTTCACGTGATTATTTTTGACAAATGGAAAAAAGCTCGGTGTCTTATTCACAATAAAAATTTAGCACATTCTGATTATACCTGTATAATAAGTAAAAAAAAATACTAAATTAAATTACTAAATTATTAAACTATTTCTGTTGGTGCCACTATTCTTGGAAAAGTAGCGATGTAGCGATGTACCTTTAGCGTCAATATGAACTCAAAATATAAACACAAAGTTAATTCAGATGATAAAGTTTTTTTTTAGTTCAGATGGTATGATATAGGCGCCTATTTTGCGTGTGGTTCAAGCACCCTCCAAGAACCTCAGCATCTTTTTAGGTATGATGAAGATTTCGGGAAGCGACCTCCAATGTACTTCGCCTTGTAGTTGAACACGCCGGGGTAAAGTTCAGATGTTTTTGGTTAGTTTGAGTATTTATATCATTCTGACGCCAACTGTACATTTACGTACATCGACCTATATTGCAAATCAGAATAAAGGATACTAGCTAGTACAAACTAGTGTTTATGTAATACCAATTTGTCGGTTTTGTTAAAATTCTTGACTAACTTGAAATCCAAAAGTTCAAAACTTAAGTGTTTTTACTTTCCTCGATTAACGATTGTCAATAAAGCTTACATCGATTTTCTTAGAAGTCATGGCTTCAAAACCTTGGGTGTATTGATTGTTTGGTCTACAGTACTTGGTTATAAAACGTTTGGTTGTTGTTTCAATTCTGTTCTACAAATATTGCAGATCTATCATTTTTAGTGTTCCTATCATTTTGTGTTTTAATTAAATCAATTGTTGAGAACCACTGTACCTTATCAAGTTTCTTTCTTCCCCACAACAGTACCGGACAACACCACTGATGGTATCCTAAGGAATCACTTTTACGACTGCGGTAGAATTACAGGTAATTATGGTTCCATAAGATGTACAGGCCCATTATCTTATTTCTTTGCAATGTTCCGAATATCCATAAAGACAATTTATTTGACATTTTTAAGGTTGATAGCCCTGTATTTAGCTAGTGATATTATCTGGTGGTGCCAGGAGGAAAATATTTTCACATTAAATGCTCTAATTCCTACTATAGATCGCGCGGTGCGCTCGGTGCTTCACTCAACGGGTGATCATTTTATTTACGTCGCTTCGCCAACTAAATTACTCTACATACAAATTCAACAAATCATGTACAGTGAAAATATTGCGTTTCACATTACTATACAAATTACGTACTATTTTGGTGTTCGGAACCGAATTATGATCTACACGTACGAGACAGGGGTGACGTTTGAATTTTTTTTACGACTTACGAAGGACGTTAGGACGTGTATTTTCTTTTTATTTCATGTTTTAGGGGTAGCTCCGGCCATCAATACGAACAATTTGTACTATGAAGACCTTACGTCAGCTAACTCATACATTTTCGTATATTTCAGTAAAATTTAGGAATTTTCTAGTAAAAATTGTTCAGATAGATAAGTAAAATTACTCCCTAAAATGACACCCTATGTAAAATGGTGGGTTTATTTAAAAAGAAAGCCACAGTATTTCTGTGATCATAATTTTGATACAAAATATCAAGTAACGCGTTCTATAACATATTATTACATTCTTGATAAAAATCACAATGTCAAACCATTCAAGCTCCATTGTTGGATGGATTGCCTCTATGACCAAGGGGATTTGGACCGTATCTCTAGACGATAACCGTGAAATTGAAACGAAAAAAATCCTATAACTGAAAATATATATCAAAGTGTCAATCAGAATTTGGAACCCGTCAAAAAAAAAACGTCACCACATATCGCGTTCCCACGCAAGTAATATCGATCAGCATTGGTTTGCCGTCGAAATGTTGCGGAGAAATGTTATTGTTTTACTATTTTCCAAGCATCTCTGTTCGATGCCACAGTCTAAGTGTTGTACTAAACAGAGTATTGTAATGGCAAAGTTCTCTACTTACAGGGGACAATTATGGTTATAACCTCGAGAACAAACATATCCGTTACTTTAGGGCGCGTTCCCATTATATCGTACGAAAGATAGTCGTGCAGTTTAAAGTGTCGTGACTTGTATATTTAAATGAAGTTGTTCACACGTATAACAACACGATTAACTGTCGTTCACGACTTTTTGACGTTATGACGGCAGACTGTCGTGACAATGGGAACAGCTACAACGACAGTCGTCCGACGATAAATAAAACGTCACGATAAAAATGTGACGACAGATAATCGCAGTTTCAAACGATTCTGTCGTGCAAACCACAAGGCGGCTGCCGTGAACCCATAAATTATCGTTTTGCTGTTCCTACGATCTAGTGGGAACAGCTAGACGCGACAGAAGAAACCAGTCACCACGAAAGCGCGCTCCCTACACAGAGTTTTATTTGAACATTCAAACAGCATTAAGGAAGTTGGAACAGGCGTAATTGCGCATTATAACAAAATATTTCAAAAACTTAATTATTTACATAACGACATAGAACGTGATTAGGACTTTCAAAACTTTCGTGGTTATTTACTAAATTATTATCACTAATTACAGGTTTCTTACCACGGTGTAGTAGGTGCACTAGTCGACCCGTGACCATGGAGCGTGTAACCGTTCCGAAATATAGAGAAAAGGAAATCACACCGTTTTAAAAGACCTGTAATTAGTGATCATCATATAGAACATGAAATTGTAAATCGAACAATGTATATTTTTTCCACCATAAGTGTAAGTTACGTTACGACAACAAAGGTAGGTTATCTGAAAAATCACAATTTTACAGGAGAGCGTTTTGGAAGTAAAGACTTGAGAGAATAATAAATATATTCTGAATACCCTTCAGATATCAGCTTTTTATATTGCCTCATTGCTCAAAATTTTAGCTAATCTAAACGATCTACTATAAAATCGTGATTTTGCAGATAACCGGTTACTCTTCGGTGTCGATATTATTATTAATATTATGGACATGTGTGTTTGCCACATCTCATGTTCTAATATCGTCGCCTTACTTTCTCAATCTCGTATCTTAAAATTGAAATTGAAATGCGGAAAATGTATTGTATATACAAATTTTGCAGGCTGATTTCACATCACATTCCTTTCATATTCACACACTGGCTTTTACCTATTCTTAAAATAATGCATCCAAATTAACACCCTTGATAAGAAATTTAAAATAAATAGAAAGGTTTGCCATCTCTTGAATAATCACTCTTTGTAAGATACGTGTAAGACCGTAAGGCATCGATATTCATTTCTTTACACTTGATTACGCACTGTACGGACTTGAATATTGATGCGTTAAGCTGAATTTCTTCCTGAAAATTAGTATGATTGGTAAACTAGATATTGTACACAATAAACAGTATAAAAAAATATTCTAACTCCATTTAGTACAACTTTTAGGCACGGTATGCACTACACTAATGTTCTACGCTCACTAGGCTCCGCGCACACTGACAACTCGACACTAAATTACACTTATCTATTTCTCAGTGTACTGGCAGTGCGTCAAGTGCGTTTCGTTACTTCCAGATGACACATTTCTAGTTATTGCTCAATTAGCTTATTATTAATCGTAATTATTTAACCATAATTGAAAGTGAGTTTTTATTTTATTTTGAAAAATGTTTTCTTAGCGGCTGTAAAGAACAATAACGGTAAACGCAGCTCCAAGGCTTATTACGAGATAGTTATGGTAAATACCATTAACGCGGAACTGTTCCTAGTGCGCCAACATTGTAAAGCTATCGAAAAATGTACGCGAACTACGACTTTATTGCTATTCGACACAGGTCGTTTTACCTTCACGCCGAAGAGATGGTCCCGGATGCTATCGACTAGATTTAGCATCGAGACATCTTAAGCGATGTAAAACGACCAATAAATGAGATCCCATTATCGTCTTGTTTTAGAATCAGCGAATATTATCAAGCATTATTAAATCGTTGGCACAAATTGGTGTTTATGTTTCGTAGAACTATTTTCAAATCACAGACTTTATTGAAGTATATAAACTAGACAAGACGAGAGCAAGATCGCATTCGGTTTCTTATTTACGTACTTTCAAGTTGCCAATGCGCCGGTCCGCTAAATTACACGGCAATCGTAACCTTATATTGTGAGGGACCACTAAAATTTGACTAAACTGGTTAAATTCACTAGTTTTTAGGCTAGACAGAGACCCATCTACTCTAAAGTTTCCTTAAAAAGAAAATGATTAATCAATTTTTCCGTAAACATCTTTATAAATCGAATTTTCCTATCACGTTACAATTTACAATAGGACGGTCCCGCACTTCATAAATTTGAGATCTGTCGTGATATTAAATAATTTTGGTAATAGTATCTCCGATCAATTCTCGTCGTATCACTGGATGCAGTCCATCGCTCGCTACGAAGTGGTTGCCAGCGGGCAGGATAGTTGGTGCAAAGCGATGGAAGCTAATGCAAGCGTGCAGAGAGATACAGTACGTAATGTGAGGTTACACTCCTCGCCACCCTAACCTTACTATTTGAGCACTGTGGAAGGAATGTGTGCATAAGATTCAAAGAACGCAATTAAGTAAGGTCCCCTAGTACGAGTTACTCTCGCAAAGTTAATTGCTTTGATCGATTTTAACACTTCTCACTTGTCGTAAGTTCATTGCGAAATACTCGTCGTAGGGGCTCGTGCTAAATCTTTCATAAGACTGCATTAGAATTCATCGACAATTATCCCTTAGTAAATATAAATAAACATCTTCAAAATTTTTACCAAATTATGAGCATTTTATATCCAGCATAAAAATCTTTTAAAATAACACGTCATATTCTTCTCGATTATAGATTTACATGGCACACTGCTCTGTTTCTATAATTATATTTTTAATTCGTAAACTCGGTACCTATCGGTTTACCTTGTCACCATAGAATAATTGAATTATATGGATGGATATAATCAGAAGCTTACAAGCGCTAATACATGTCGAGGCGTTCGACGGATGGACAAGTAACATATGTAAGGAGTGACCAATCAACCAATCAAATGTAACAAATACTGTCGCCGGCATTCGATGCCCGTTGCGTTTAAACTAGATGCGAGAACTATCACGAAATTTTGGTCCACCGAACATGAGTTAACCAGATTTCGACTGTTCATTAAAACTATAGGAATTGAAACGTACTAACTAAGGCAGACGCGTAAGGTCTTAATAGTTATCACCGGCGAAGGCGAACACGTAAGAGAAACGAACTCGCAACAGATTCGACTAAGGTTTGACGCAAACGCACGACGCTCACTTCATGACGTGCCGCGTCTCCGGGTGCAAACTGACGCCTTCCACTGTGAAGATTGACACTTCTGCAACAATAAAATCGATTGTAACAACGCTGTTGCGCCATCTGCCGCAATTTATCCATACTACACTTTACTACCACATACTTTGCTAATTCATTCCTTTGCAAAATGATTCATTAAAGTTTTAAAGGGGTGCCAGACAGATATATTCTAGAGAGAGCAACTCCATACGTCGGCTAAAGAACAATGGCGAATTCCCATATAAATTTTTGTTGACATAATTTGTGTGCGTTTTAATTTTTTTTATATGCGTTTGTTTATGCAAAAAAAATGTGAAAATATAGAGTTCAAATTCCTGAACAAATTTGCTTTTGGGTTTACTATTCTGAGAAGTATGAAACTTCTGATTATGCTTCTGATTATGTTCTGTTTAACTGCCTCCGTGGCCGAACGGTTACCATGCCGGACTGCCACGCAGAGGTCCCAGGTTCGATTCCCGGGCTGGGAGAAATGTTTGTATGGCCTACATTTATTTCTCTCGTGAGTTTCGGTGTAATTTGTGGCTGTCTATATGTGTGTCCATGGCACCCGCGACACAGGGTTTCCCTAGTGCGGGGCTATGTTGAGTGTGTGCGTTATTTATTATTATTATTATTATTATTATTATTATATAATGAAATCAAATATATTCGGCGTATTTATTATATCAAAATAAACTACAGAGCCTTAAACAGAGTTCAGAAGAAAATCGGGCATGGTTAACAGAAATGAAGTTGAGCCATAACCAAATAAAGCTGAGTTAAAACGTATATCCCATAACCTGGTAACTCAGGCACAAATAATTTTTTTGTAAAACATGCCATCTATCCCCGATGTCGGGAACTTCTTTGTTAGTTTTACCACTTTTTCGCGTGGCATATTTGGAGAAGGAATTATCCACTCTATTTTTGTAATAAAGCAGTTAATCTCTTATTGCAAATTGGTCGAATCAGTACATTTAATACTACGTGAACTAAATGTGGACCTATCTATTCGTACGTTGACGTAGGTCAACGTTAAGAAACTGATAGTTGTAGATATTAGTCTAGTTACATAGTAATTAGTCATTTGAGTTTCATTTAAATATTATTTTATTTCCAGAATTAGACAGGCCTTATTATAATTTGTAAAACCTAATTAATTTATTTTATTCAAACTTGCAATAATAACATTTGAAGACGCTAAAGAATTACTTTAATTATTTCGCCATTGTTCCTTGAAACCACGTCATTGAAAGCCCTTTTTTACTCTCCAAACGCAATATCGGGAAATTAAAGCTTAAAATTTAATTTGTAGACCCTTTTTTAGTTATAAAATAAAGGCATAATCCATCATTGTTGTATAATTTTTTCTAGTAATTTTGAATTTTGTTTACAAAAGTTCACATTGTAAGAATTTAACCGCCAACGAACATGTATATACATCAATTTAAGGAATTACCTGTATATAACTACCTACGACAGTTATGAGGGAACTCTGGAGAATAACAACGCTATTTACACAAAAGTGTATTCTGGCCAAAGATCGTCTCTCCCTTGACAGCTGTCGTATCCGACATTTTTCTCGTAACTGGGTCTTACGTCTATTTTTTACATATAGACACGACTACAGCTTAAATCGTTTATAGGTGGGTAAAGCACTAAATCGAAAATACGCTGCGTTAAAAAATGTTATATTGATTTATTGAATATCATGACGTTTTATTCATATCTTTTTAAAAATTATTCCACTAGTTCAGTGTTTCTTAACCTCTGGTCCATGGACTCCTTGTAATGAAAGTTGGGGATTTATGGCAAGCCTACCTAACAAAATGCATTCATAATAAAAATTGGTATACAATATGTTGCGAGTAAAGAGACGCGAGCTTATTCTTCATCATATTTTCGGAAAGGGTTCGTGGGCTCTTTGAAATTTTGAGAGGTAGAAAAAGGTTAAGAAATCCTGCACTAGTTTGTTATTATTGTAGATACAAAGATCGAACACAAAGAAAAAATACATCGATTTGATTGGATTCGAACCAGCGTCTGTTGCTACACCGGGGTCACCGCTCTTAACCAACTGCGCTACAGAGCGAATCAGTGGATCTTGCAAATTTCTTTATGTGTTGTTACAGGTCTTTGCGTTGGATCTAATGTCAGTTAGTCAGGAAAGAGACGAAATGTTCCAAAACAATATTTATTACCCAAGCGAACATACTTATACTCACGCACTTAGATTCCCATTGTGGTAGGCAGGGATTATCGATCACCATTTATCACGATCCTAACAAAGCTTTCTTGTTTTACTTACATTTATTAATCTTTTAATACAGGCCCTCTTGGATGTTCTTCACATGTATTTCTGTCGTTAATCTACATTCATTCGCTCTATGTGCCCAAATTACATCAATATACCCAAAAGAACAACTGACAATGGGCGGCCAACAAAGACAGTGATCACCTCGGTGGCCTAACGGTTTACATTGTAGACGCTGGATGCGGAGGTCTGGGGTTCGATTCCCGGAAGGACCAATTCCGGAAATGAACTTTGCTGAATTCGTTCCGGTCTGAGTGTTCTGAAGAGTGCCCCAGATTGAATTCCATACTCATAACAGTCTGAAACTAGGGAATACCCTGTTCCCTAGTTTGAGACTAGGCAATTGGCGTGGTTGTCTGGCACGTATTGTTATATTATTACATTAAAATGTAAGCACGACAACTTACCATCAGGCAGTTCTCTAAGCCGCGGTGGTAAGGACGCGAAGTACGCATGATGCAGCGCTCTGTGAGCGGCCAGACGTCTGCTGGGATCCGGCTGCAGCAAAGCCGCTGCCAGCCTCTCAGCCTCGCGACCGGCGTCCCTCATCCGGGGGAAGGCTGCCCCCAACGGCCGCGCTGGGCATGTGCCCCATCGTGATACGTGAGTACGAAGACCTGGAAGACGACTGACCCCTGACCAGCTTTCTTCTGTCGGTGTGCCTACAACCTGTTTAGAAAAAACAAAAGTATGGAATGAAAGAACGTTTGTTATAACGCCGTTTTGAATAATAACACACACCATAGTCCCGCATTAGGGAAACACTGTATGGTGGGTGCCATGCACACACACATAGACAACCACAAATTATACCCAAACTCACAAGAGAAATAAATGTAGGCCATACAAATATGTCTCCTGGCCCGGGGATCGAAGTGGCTGTTCCGCTTGGTAACCGTTCGGCCACGGAGGCAGAATGCTTTACCTTTGTAGGTTACAAAATACTGTTTTAAGAATTAACGGAATCATTTTGAAATAATACCTGTAGGTATTTTTTTTCTAAGTAAATGAGTCCTTTACAATGGGTAAAAATCACGCAAGGGTAAAAAAAACATTAAATTAAGTCCTATCGTAGTTTTAAGATTGACTTTAAATGCCAATTGCCCTTTAAAACTCTCCGTAGCAAAAATGACGATTTGTTACTTAGGGTTCTTTACCTATTACCTACAGGAATTGAATAGCCTTCGTTTAACCTAAATATTGGTTATTGCTCGTAGTCATGTGAAAAATCTGACTTATTTAAATTTAAAGAAATACTTTTTTCCTTTAAATGAAAATCTCAAACCGTATCAATACTTTGAAGCGTTTTAGCTTCAATAAAATAGTTTAAGTCAAATAGAAAGTACAAAATAATAAAAATGGTTTATTATGATACCTCATTTTAAACTTAAGAAGCCTGTGTCATTGCGTACCACTCTTCCATAGCTATACGAGTATATAAACATTTTTTAAATTTTAATTATTACATCTGAAATCAATTAAAATTTTTATTTTTATACTTCTTTATCCTTTAAAATACAAAATATACACGTCCACATGTCTAACATGACCAAATTGTATTACGTTTACCAACGGCGGTGGCAAACATGACAAGATTTTGACATGCTGCCGCTGCGCTGCCGCGAGGCAGAAGGCTTTGTAATAGCAGACAACTTTTTAGTAGCGAACGCTACTAGCGTGCATACAAGCGTAGCCGATGGAAATAAAGGAAAATATCCAATAGTATAAAATAAATATTTACGCTTCAGGAAATCCAGGTAACAGAAAGGATATTGAGCAACTACCGGAACATTGGTTCCACTATTGTGCTCCACGTGTTACCGAGAAAAATATACCTATTTCTTTACCCATTGAACAAGATTAAGCATGCTTGAAACTGTCCTTTATGTAAACAAAGCGTTTAGTGAGATATAAAACATGACTTTAGTTGCACGTGGTTATGTAGTATGAGCAATGACACATGTATTTAAAAATGCACGTGATTGCCTTTTAAAACAACAATGACGGTTTTCTACACATTTATTTACAATTTTAAACGCAAACCACTAATATATATTCATTGCTTTTAATAATGTTTATCTAATTTACAATGTTACATTCTGTTTTTTTTTAAATACCGTTTTCGGTGTAACAGACATACCTTGAAAATTTTGTCGAGCTGGTCGTGCGTGTCCCTTACTCCAGGGAAGGTGGGCACACCGCACAGCATCTCCACGAAGATGCACCCTACGCCCCACATGTCCAGGGACGTTGAATACTCAGTACTGCCCAGGAGTACGTCTAGACAAAGTAATTGGCAATTCAGTAAAGAAACTTTTTTTTTTTTTCTTGTAAATACTGAAAGACCTCCTATCAGCAAAAGCATGTTTTAGGTAACTAACTTTTGTAAATTGTACCTGGTCTAGGTTTTCTCTAAATTCCAACCAGGATTGCCATCTATCTGGCATGGTCCGCCTGATTATTATTTAACAAAAAAAAACTTTGTAGTCTTGTACTGTACAAACAACACATAGTTGTTCCTTTTGGATTCGAACTAACATATAATAATTTAAACAATTAAAACTTACCCGGAGGTCTATACCAAAGTGTGACAACTTCATGTGAATAGGTGTGGCTGGGGACGGATTTGGCCCTTGCCAGACCGAAGTCGGCCAGCTTCAGCTCGCCGTGGGAGCTTATTAAGAGGTTCTGAGGCTTCACGTCTCTGTGAAACAAGTTCCAACTTATATTGATTGTTCGACTAGAGATATCACACATAAAACCATATACTGCTGTAACTCCAAAATGATGGAATTTGAGAAAACACGATTTGAAATTTTTAAGTTTATAGAATGTCACGATGTTTTACTACCAAGACATTCAATTTTTTTTGCGAAATTTTTATTTATAAATTAGTTTGTTAAGATAAATTCATTCGATTCGAACCAGCATCCTCAGGCAATCCGTGTCAGATGCTCTGCCAATTAAGCCACGGAACGAACTAGCTAATCTTACGAATTTTTCTATGTACTTTGTTGCAGATGTTTGTTTTCGGTTGTTAACGACTTTTTGCCGTAGCGCCCTCTGTGAGAAATTTATTTCTTCACTAAGAGAGGTACCTTTACAGCTACCATCGGCTAACTAGAGATGTCGCTTAAATAATTGAAATTTTTAAGTTTATTGAATGTCACTACGTTTTACTACCATGATATTTATTCAATTTGAATTTTTGACGACAACGATTTGAAAGTTCAAAAAATTACTGAATGGAACCAAAAAATTTATATTCTCATTTATAAATGAACAACAAATTACTATGTATAAATAAATAAATAAAATAATCTCATTATTTGCAATAATTCAATTTTTTTTAATATTCAAGTCACGTTTTCTCAATTCCATTATTTTTGTGTGACGACAGTATTTGATGTCATGTGCGATATTTCGATTTTGAATTTACATAATATGACAAATCTATTCACAATTTTCCTTCTCTTTATTTCTTGCGTGACTCGACGCCGTTTCCGAAATGATACTACCATTTATTAACTTTGTATTAAAATATAACATTCAAACGTGATTGTAAGTAAGGGCATTGTAAATAAGCAAGTGTCCATGAAAACAATAACGCCACGCCCCGCGGCGTCTTTTATAACTAAAGAAGACGTGGCGTCCTTGGAAATCACACGGTCCACGCGAATACGTCTGTCCTTGTCAAAATCAAAGCAATTAAATTTCTAATTAATTTAATTTTAAGATGATGCTGACAAAAATAAAGAGCGAATTTCTTAGGCAAGGTGGGAATCGAAGTATGTTGGTCTTTCGCCACAGGCAAGTAATTATGACTGTAGTATAAATACCTTACCTGTGTAACACTCTTCTTCGATGGCAATAAGACAGCCCCCTTAGGAGTTGAAACATAAACAGTCTGACATTGTGATGGTTGAGCCCTCCAGGATGCCTTTCCATGTATTGCGATAGGTCCGTGTCCTAAACAATATAGAGGGAACAGTTTAAAATAGAAACACAATATAAAACTGGTTATATTGGATAACCTTCATTGCTCTGACATTTAAATGGATTACCTAAATACCCTTTTGTTTCCACGAAAAAAAATGCTTTTATATTTTGCCGGCTTATTGGGCAATGGAACTGGAATTCCTGTTTTTCGTATTTTTATGAAATTGCTGACAAAGATCGCTGCATGGAGCCGCGAAACTTTTTATTTTGTGTTTATTTTTGTTATACTACTATTTGTTTTCTACTCTAGCCACGTTAATCGAAAAATAAAACGGAAAGATAAGCTTCCGTGCATGCAACAAAACTAAAAAACCTGTTCTTGAATCTCACCACAAACTCGAACACAAATGTAAGTGTCTCCCTCGTGTGCACAATGTCGTGCAATGTGACAATGTTGGCGTGTTTCAACTCCTTAAGTAGCGACGCTTCTCTGATAGCTGTGAATGGCGCACCTTCTTCTTCTTGTAGTCTGATCTCTTTTAGCGCTACCACCTGCTGCGTTAAACTGCCACAGAATAATTCACCGGTTATTACAATGTAAGTAACAATAAAGCAAAGATGTATATATAATTGAGTTTCGAGTAAGGAATGTAACTTGAGTGGTGGTTACTAAGGGTCGTAATAATAATCAGCCCTTAAGACCGGTATCGGTGAAGATGTCACTCGGATCTGAAGATGCCGATCCCAGTGAAGATTGCGAACTTCATACACATAATTAAATTGCTTTGTAGAAGGGAGCCGGTTTCTTCACGATGTTTTTCTTCATCGATGATAAAAGATTTGTACCGTTTACATATAATTAGTATAAAGCTTGGTAGTTCTGGAAATTGCAGGTCAAAAAAAATTTGTTCCTATTCCGAATTTCCAGGTTTTGAGAGCTCTTTACACAAAAAAAAACAACTAATAACCTGATAAAATTTTCCATTTATTTTAGTACCACTAACGGAACCACTCTATTCGCATATAAATTCCGAAACTCAGAGGTGCAAGCCCAGATTCGACACACGTTCTTTGCTTGAGAGGCGGTCATGTCAAATCATTAGGGCGCATCTATTCAACACATATTTTATTGCGCTCACTCCGCGTGGCCGCCTCGCGGACGCCGCGTTGCCGCCACGCATCGACCGCGTGCGTCTAACTGTCATGGCAAAATACGCTCTATTTATTTAGCTTTTACGTTTTAACTTAAATGAGCGTCCCGAGTACGCGAGCGAGTCTGGCTTGAATTTGTTCTACTATCCTCAGAAGAACTTAAATGTTGTTCTAGTAAATAGAATTCAGATTCGCCATTAATGTACATGAAAGCGTGGCAACTGGGCGGTCGCCGCGCGGCGGCCGCGCGAGAACTTTCTCCTCGTGTAACTGGGCGCTTAAGCTATCACGGCTAATTCTGTATTAACAGACTATGAATGATCGGTATCTTGTGTGATACCATCTCAAGTGACCAAGATTGAAATTTATAATAATAATAATCAATAAGTAATCGTTAATGTGCAATCCATGATATTTATTATTAAAGGTAGTTGACTTAAACAAGATCTTAATATCGATTCTGCACTTGAGGTGGAGCGGTGTTTAAAGAAACACATTATAAATACGCAACTTTACTTTTAAAACCAACTTCCGAAGCATTAATATTACGCGATCCAAATATTCGTAAACTAATTTAACTGGAGTCCGCCTAGACGCGCCATTCAACGGAAGGTCAACGTTATACTAAGCTACAAGACTCGGTGGAAGTCTAAATCATGTACAAAGCAGTTACATTGCATAAAACAGCTTTATTAGTGCTTAAACTTTGCGAAATAGAGACGGTTATTAACTATTCAAGAGCAATGAATTGTCACAAGCTCATGTCGACACTTGACATTTTGCATAAAAGCTACTTCATCGCCATATTAAATTGAAACTGTAATATTAAAGTTGCAATTTCACTTTGAAAATTTATTCGCTATTTTTTACTATACTTGCGAAAGTGAAGAAAACAGTTGGAAATTGTGAATTGAAACTTCCATTTCGAAATTGTGTGAGAGCAACAGCATAATATACAAAAAGAAGTTTGAGGCGATCCAAAGTAGGCTACGAGCGGACTGCTTTGCATATCGAGTGAGCTCGAGTGACGTCAAAGGTCGGTTCCAAGAGGCGACACAAAGGAGGCTGAGTCGCGAGCTACCAAATGTCAGGGGTAATACCGGGAAGGCCACCTTTGCTAGTCACTTGCAATATAAGACAATAATCTTTTAATTTTCATGCGAAGATTCTTTATCTATAAGTATAGCTAACTAAGGAATGTGGTTTACTAAATAGCGGAGTGTGGTTTGATTTCCTGATTATATGTTAACGCGACGAGACGACTTAGCTTCTAGATTTATGTGCACACATCTGAAATTACAATGTAACTAGAAATGCGAATGTTTATAATATGTAAGAACATACAATTTTCGATAAGAAAACATATGGAGTGCAAATATTCAAGAGTATATTTCTGCAAAAGGTTTGTAGAGCGAAGAAAGGAAAGCGTGTCTTGAATATCGGTCGGGAAGTAATAAAAATGAACGACTCTAAGACAGTCTTACAGTTCAAGTGCAGTACAGGAACCGTATCTCCAGTGGAATGGAATCTTGAGGGAGATACGATATTTCGTAGTTTGTTTGTGGAACAGCTTTTAGATATCCCGACAACGATTTGTGGAACTGCGGTTTTAGACCCGCATTGCACTCAGTTCGTACTAATGTCAAAGTAAAATAGAGAGTGAGCACCATTTATCTATGTTAGCAAATAATGTGTAGCGACGCATGCTAGGATTAAAATGCTGCACTTTGGTGTTGTTAGCCTTAGTAAGGGAAAATGTACAAGAATAATTTCCCTCAGCAGCATAATAATAACAAACACGTGCCAAACACATGTTCAGTCGATTGTAGAGCGGTTCCACACGACGACTTTTACCAGTGATGCAGTAGCGATGCAGTCGCTAATCGTCTACCTTTACACACGCGCGCGATTTTGATAATGAAAATGCAAAAACGGCGCGTTCCTGAAAACCGCGATTGCATCGCTACACTTGCGATTTATAGGCGCTTGCATTGATGCAATCGCGCGTTTGCATCGCTGCTAAAGTCACCGTGTGTAACCATTCTTAAAGTCGTCAAGCAATCTTATTCATTTGCATTGACCTACCAACAAATGGACATCGTCGGGTTCGCGCTTAAAAGTATCAAATGTATCAAAATTTGGGTTGGAATCACTGACTTACAATTATATGGACGTCGGGTTCGCGCTAAAAAGTGTCCGAACTTATAGGGCGTTAAAATCGTATACAGAGCGTCATTCCCACTTTAGTCTTCGTTTGTTCGACTGACAGCGAAGCAAGCAAAATTAGACAGTACTGCGATGACATTACAATTTAAATTCAACATTTTAGCTTTTTCATATTCCTTTACATGTCACTACGTTTAAATAGGTTGACTTGGGACATTTTTTTCGTGGTTTGTGTATTAGACCCGTCGTCCATTTATTTGTAAGTCAATGGTTGGAATCTAAAAATTCCAAACATTGATACATTTCTAATGGTATGGCATAACTAACAAACAGAGAGACACTTATTTTCTTTATTTATAATTTGTATGTAAATATATCATCATCAATGTTATGGATTTATTATTTCTTAAAGTGAATTTGTACAAAATTCTATATGTTATATATATATAAATACATTAATAATGACAGTAAAAGCTACTCCATTACTCTTGTGTTCCAAGTAGTTTTCTCTAGAAGCTAAATATGGTGAATTTTGTAGTTTCTAGTAGAAACTGAATATGGTAAATTTTTGGGTCTAATTGTTGATAAAAAAATTACGCAATACTACTATGACGTTACAATTTAAAATGTTTTAGTTTTTTTTATATTTCTTTACCTGTCACCACGTTTAATATAGGTTAATTCGGGACATAATTTTCTCGTGGAGTTTGTATTCGTCGTGCATTTGTTGTTAAGTCAATGTTCATTTGTTTAAATTAGTAGGTGAGTAATTTACATATACATTTGATATCCTTGCGTAACTGTAAACCACAGTGTAAAAAATAATAAATTACACACAAGGAATTTGTAATGCTTACGTCAGAACTGAAGAACCTTGTAAGTAGTTCCTACACGTATTAAAGCGACGAAACCGCACTAATAGCATAACTGCATGTAATTTTAACTTTCAAGTAACTTAACAACTCCCTGTGTGGATGTTCTCTTCACAAACGGTCTTAGTTTTAATTGCTACTAAATTCAATTTAATAACAGTATATTATATGGAATCCCTATTATGAAAGATGTTATTTCCCGTTGCTTTGTGTTGTTTTAATAAACAATTGTGTCTACGAAAAATTTATACTTAGACATCGACTTCGAGTGGTCCCATTTTAATTTGAAGAAAATATTCCATCCACCTCTAAGATTTAGAATCTCTCGAATTGATAGCAAACTACCCCTAGTTTGCCATCAATTCGAGAGATTCTGACTGACTGAATGACTTTTGAGGTCGGTTTTTTTAGTACTGTAATGAGGGGTAACTCAGATTGCCTAGCGAGAGGTACTTTTAATAATATAAACCGGGATCATCTTAAGAACTCTGGTTTATTTCACCATTTTACATATTTTCACTTTCAGGTTACAAATCAATAATCTAATATGTCAAGATCTTCTGTTTTCTTATTTCAATCCTTAACATTCTAAATATAAAACTATAATCACTACCTTTATTCAGCCAGCAATTCTACTCATAGAGTAGAGCCTAGTCTACAGTACTCTGTACTGATAACATTTCAAATAAATGTTTCGTTTCGAACAAATCTTCTTGGGTTTCAATATATCATTATGAGAAAATACTTCACGTTTGGTATTATTATTGATCGAACAGCACAAAGAAAAATGCTTCTAACTGATTGGAACAGAACCAGTGCCGGGAACACCGTCTTTAACCAAGTGAATACAGTCCCATATCTTTCTATATACCTTTTGTTTATAGTGACCCTCCCTATCAACCTCTTGGTTATACGGAAAGGGCACTATAACCTGTGCAGGCAAGCCCGCACAGAGACCTTCTCAATCAGATCCTGACCCCAGATCAGACTGTTTGTGAGAGCTGCCCCGGGTGCGCTGCTCCGATCCCGTTGCGCATTGTACAACTAACGGTTGCCACCGCTAAGCCGGTGACTCTAAAGTCCCACTACCAAATCTCCTCTTTGGTATCGGAGCTGTAGGCACGCTTACCTCCCGACGCCGAAGCATCTCTTCAGTTCTCAGAAACCTACGCGGCTGGAGGGACCGGAGAATATCTAGCTTATCCTATACCAGCTCTCCGGGCTAGTACCGGAGATGCCGGTAGCAGAGTCCTGTGACAATGCCGAATTTATCTATAATCTTAATATAATGCTACGTGATTACTCGTTATTATTGTATAAATATAGTTCTCGATGGACTGAATTATCCTAAAAATAAACAACTAAATATAACACATCTTGTAAATGCCAATGTTTTTGTAAAGCAATTTAATAGGAAATTCTCGAACGAACTACGTACTCGTAGTGTTTACTAAGAATTAAATGAAAATTTTCTATCTTTGCATACTTACACTATTTAAAAAACTTGCACTATAAAAACACTTAAAGAAACAGAGATTACGAAGATTAAACGGAAACTTTATAAAATAATAATAAAATATTATCATGACATTTATAGTAACTTCACTTCTGCTCTTGGTAACTTTTCGATACCGGCACGTGAAGTTTTTTTATTTGAAAAATGTCAAGCTGATTTACAATAAAGTTGAAAGTAAATAAGATATGAAAAAACCGCTTATAGATCTCGACTGTAGATCTCGTTTCGCTGATTCAAGATATTTATTTATTTATATATTACACTAAAAATGTTTACTACTTCAGTTATGATAAGGAGGCAGATTTATTAGCTGAAGAAAGTTTATGATCACCTGCTTCTTTGCTTACTTTTTTCTAATTCTAAAAAAGCGAAGTATAGCAGTATTTAGAAGCCAGTGACTTTGTAGCCTACCCTTAGCGGAATTAAAGAGAAGGCTCGGTCCACTTCATTTTGTTGTAAGAAGGTAGAAAGAACAAAGTAAGGAAAATGCTGTAACAAATAATGGTATAAAAACAAGTACAATAATATAAAAACACTCGTTACAGATCTAACGTAATAAGGTGAACTTATTCCAAAAGACTTGTATTCGCACGAATATTGATGCTTTTTAAGCCGTTAAACAAAAGAAAGTCCTTTCTCTTGCAGAACTTTGATGGGTGTGACGACGGAACGAAGTAAAGAAGAATGACGAAGGGAAAGAATGATTCAAAAATTCAAAAGGAAGTGGCCAGGAACCAGAGAAAGGGTGATAAAAAGGTGGGATAACAATAAAAGAGGTCGCATCGTAACAACTTTAACAAGTAAAGTAACTATAAGGTGTGTCTTCTCGCTACTATTTCCATACAAAAATATTTACACCAGTGTTTTATATCCGTCATAACCCAATGCTTTGACTACTGTCGGGTAATTATTCGACTATTTAAAAAAAAATTAAATCGAAATTTTTCCAGAAAATTTCCCGAAAAAATTGGAAAATTTGACAAATTTGACAAATATAATTTCGAAGGCTCATATTATGTTCTACGTTTAGAAGTCTCTTTTGTAGTTTTATTTAACGTGCATTATAAAATAAACTTGTGTAGCTAAAAGCCACTTAAAGAAAAACGAGATCTAAAATGGGTTCACAACAGCGATAAAAAACCTTTTTAATGGCTCCATCGTTTTCGTTCAGTAACTTCAACTTTTGACGGATGTCAACGTCAAATGTGAATATATTGGAAAAATATCCGAAAAAATATTTCTTTTTCTGAAAAATGTGTTTCAAAATGGAAAACTTTCCATGACCCATCACTAGGTTTGACCTACCGCCTCTCAAGTAAAGGCCGTAGGGTTCGAACCCGAATTGAGCTTTTTCGAAATTCACTTGCGAAATTGAATTTGTAGTTTAAGTTTTTGGTGAAGGAAAACATCGTGACGAAACCTGCACGTCGAAGAAGGTTCACAACCCTCGGAAAACGTGTGAAGTTCCCAACCTGCACTGGGCCAACGTGGCGGACAATGGCCTAAATTCTTACCTAAGAGGAGACCCGTGCCCAACATTGGGATGTATAAAAGTATTGATGATGATTATGATGTTACGTGTTTTGTGTCTGTTATTTGTACGTTATATTTTTTTACTAAAATATGCAGGTTATATAATCCATTCTAGCGGTTCGTTTGTGTAAATACAGAAATACAACATGTTTGAGCATCATCATCATATTGCATTACCTATTTTTTATATTTCAAGTTTTTCAAATAACCTCAAACGATTCTGCTTTAAAAGGTTATTTATTACCTCATTTAAGTATTGGTTCAATTGTAAAGTGTTTTCTTACTTTAATAGGTACTTAGGAGAAAACACTAAAGTTTTGAACACATTCGTGCAAAAGCTTCTGTTTGAAAACTAAACCGAGACGATTCACGTTGCTAGTGACTTATAGCAAATGCGAAATGTACAATGTTTGAGGTTGGAATGCGTAAATTAAATCAACTTACTTGCTATACCCTTTATAGACCGTGGCGTAGGAGCCTTCTCCGAGCTGCTCCAGTTTAATGTAAGCTTCGGATTTCCCGAACGGAGAATCACCCTGGGGACAAATGGAGAATCAAATAAATTATATTGAGTACACAGATAAATCTTAGTGTTAGGTATACTGCTGGATTGGAAGATAATTTAGAACAGGTTCGAAATATATTTCGAATTTGCAATTATGATTTAGTGAAAGAAGTTAGACCATAGTATAGTTTAATAAGACAACTAGGTCTACTCCCGCCTGTTCGACGCGTCAATGCCTATGCATCACTCGGAGTGTAGGGTTGCCACATTATTATTTTAGTTTTACATACAGGTTGCAAAATAAATTAAGATATTTTCAGTGTTCTTGTGCTATATTGAAATAACCTTTGTAATTCAAATGCCGTACTTACACATTGATGTTTTTATACCAGCATCACGGATTAATATCTCAATTATAAGAGTATGGTGGTACAATAGAAATAAAGTGCGAATTTGTATTTCACACGAATATATATTTATAAATTAAAAAACTATAAACACAGAAAAAATATTCTAAGCACCGAGCGACAGCTTTAAACAAAGAATGGGGCGTGCAACCCGCGCTGTGCAATTCGAGTGCACCGCGAGATTATGCGAATGTGTGCACGGCGCACTGTGGGCGTGCACACACACAAGCCACGCTGCTGCATTTGTATCAAGTTACACTATTGTATGTTGTCTTATTAAAATATGGTTAGGCGTTTATTGAAATAGGGTCAATCGCCACTCCCAGTTTAAAGGAAAAAGCTTTTATATTCAGTTATTTGTTATTGTTACTTAATCAGAAAGATACAATTAGAAATGTTTAATAGCAAGAGCACCTTGTGAAAAAGTTCGTTCAGGAAATTACTGCGACCATACCTATTTATGCCTCCAAACAGTAATGTTCGCATTACCGCGTTCTGGTTTTGAAGGATAAGGTGCTGCTAAAACAATAGGCGCATGAGACTTGTCCACTTTATGTCTCCCTGTCAAGGAAGTAGTGGTCGTAGTGGCCTTCGCATTTTTGCGATTCAAAGCTTTAAATGGCAATGCAACTGCTATGAAAGACGTATCGCTTGCCACCAAGCGGACGACTTGTTTCGTCACTAGACATCATAAAACCTACCATACCAGATATTTTTGTCGCAACGAAGTAAGACGTGCTATCTCATTCAGCTTTCAAAAGCGAACATAATACAAGCTCAAGGTGTGACGTCAGTTAGAAGATGGACGACATAAGCTGGTATACAAATTACGTAACATACAAGTTATTATTATACATAATCATAATTCAAGAGAACAAAGTCGTCAGTAAAAGCTATCACCAATAATATATCACAGTGTGTGCACTAAACGCTCAGAACGGGCAACACTGTAATCCTATAATTTACGATAGGCCGAGCTTGTGAAAAATGTAGGCTTGGGCGCGGTCAACGAAAACGCTTTTCATATGTTAAGCTTGGCTACAAATAACTCGGGAACATAATATACAACTTCGTATGCAGACTTTCGATTTTGATACTCTAATGACAATGTTTTTCGATTTTGATACTCTAATGACAATGTTGTTTGAAGACTTATCTTGTAAATGTTTGAAAGGAAAAATAGATATCTTTCACTTACTCTCGGTCGGCGAGAGATTGTGGACAAAGGTAACTTTATCTTACACAGGGCGCACTATAAGTTTCCGGAACTGGCCACTTACATAAACAATATTTAAAAAGTTTGTTATATATATATATATTTATATTTAAACAACATTTGAAAATGGGACTCTTTGGTTTCATCTGACTGTCACTTGTTTTTGACATTGTGGCGTCATTTTAGAAATTGGTTGTCCACATCACAATGAATTTAACTCGTGAAAATTTTCGTACTATGATTTTCTACGACTTCCAAACCAACAAAAGTAGCGCGCGTGCAAGGTGCCTCTAAGCGGATGATTGCTTCTTTTTTTAATAAAACTGGACACGTGGCTATTGTTGCTTTGGAGAGTCGTACCGTGAATAGTGATTGGTACACGATCATTTGTTTGCCGGAAGTTATTGACAAACTCCGTAAAAATAACCGTAAACGCCATATCATCTTGCACCACGATAATGCCAGTTTTCACACAGCCAGACAGACAAATGAATTTTTGAAGGTGAACAACGTTGACCTTATGAGCCTTCCCGCATTTTCAAAAATTAAGAACCAATTACGCGGTCAACGATTTTCATCACCGTGTTTCAGAGATTGTCACGATGGAGGGGCATAAATGTTTTCAAAATTGGTTCATTCGTATGAAAAGTGTATTAACGCTAACGGAGAATATTTTGAGAAATAATAAATTCATTTCTGACCATTTATACTATTTGTTTCTTATTCATTCCGGAAACTTATGCGCCCCATGTAATAAAAAATAATAAAAAAGCAGGGAGTTGCGATCGGGGCATATTTTATTAGGCCTAAGGTGAAGTCGTTAGCATCAAGATGACGCTATCTTCGGACACACCTTCTGTCAGGATGTTGGCTGGCCGGCCATACATACCGTTAATGAAGAATAATTTTTAAATAATAATTTAAATTTAAATCGTGCTCAAAACCCAGCAGAATAAGGTTGTTAACATGTAGACAACTCGTTTTTGAAACTCGGGGTAAATGGAATCCAACTAGACAATGAATAAATTCTACAATTTTCATAAAAGACCGCTTGAATACTAAATCCTAAATTAACACATTAACCGAGCTACGTTAAATAGTCAGCGTAACAGGGGCGGTTGGTAAATTTACGAGAATTTTCAATTTAGTCGTCTCATCTGTTATTTAGTGCGGTTTTCAGTTTGGGAGCTTGTTCTGTGGTTTATGATAGCGTTCAAGAGGTTATTTATAACGATTAGCTTTGATTGTGAAGTATCGCCTCGAATGCGACGTATATCATTGGTCTGTTCCCTTTGGGCTCCTAAATTTTATAGAGCAAAAGACGCGTCCCTGTTATAAATAGTAGCTTGTTTTACCTCTAGGGATAAACTTCACCTTTTCAAGGCTTTATCAACCACTTATTATACGACATTACTATTACATTTTTTCTGGGCCGAGACGAGAGACTGGATGCACGCTTCCTGATTCCCGTGATTTCAGATTTCATTTCGAGGGACTAAATGATTAAATTAACATTGGTAATAGCAAATTAATATTTTAACTGTACTACCAGATTCAATGGTGAATTTTAGGACTGCACTGGTCATTAATACGTTAACAGCTGAAAAAAAACGAATCACATCTTGTTTAAAAAGTAATTTCATCTTAACAATGAACATACAATTTCTCTAGTTTTCGTCTTTTTAGTCTATCTTTCAAAAGATCTCTATATATCTCTCTCTATATCTCTATATATCTAAATACCTAGGATGTAGCGAGAGGCCATTAAAAGTAAACATCCTAATTTCAACACGGAGGACAGTTTCTCCGTACCACCGGTTTGGGATCCAGTATTTCCTCCGATGAAAAATCCCAAACAGACATAAGACTGCAGTACTAAATAATATGTTTTAATTTATTCTAATTTACATTATTAATTAATAATAAATTTATCATAATAAAAATTCAAATTGTTAAAATAAGGTATTTAATTAATAACTTGTAACTATAGTGAAAAAAATAGAGTGGTTTGCATTAATATTAGACATAACTGGTTGATGACTTTACCATCTCAATCAACCGTGACCAAGGGTTCTGTAAAGGGCCCGAAACGTTGGTTTGTTTGCAAAAACAAATAACGCGATTTAAATCCGGAAAAATAGATTCATTTCCAAGACACTATCTCGTAAGTAAAGTATAGCCAACAAAATGAATAGTTTCTCGCACAGCTTCGCTTTCTTAGCGCACTCTACTCGTTTAAATATTTGATTTACCTAAAGCGCTCCTAGTTAATGCATGTTAGGGGAATCTGTGTACCTCAGTACGATTTAAAATGCAGCTATGTTAATAAAGGTTTGGAAATGAAAAATAAATAACGTTATTATACCTACTTTCCACAGCCAAAGTAAATAATTGGGTAGTACCGTTTGTGACGCCACGAGATTGCTGTTTTCAAAGTAATGGTCAACTTAGTTTCCTTGTGTCCAGGCACTAAGTTACACTTCTAATACCATCTAACGTTAAACCCGACATAAAGTGAGCATACTCGTGACGTCATGCCCTAATGAGAGACCTGTGTTTTTGTAAAAGTAAGACTAGTAATGTTTCGTGCGAAGATAGATTTGAAGAGAATGGTCATTTTCTATAATACGTGACTAAGCTAAGACCTACTACTGGTTCTTTTCAAATATTTGAATTGCCTAATGCATTCCTAGTGAATAAATAGGGGTTAAAAGTGTGTACATACCGAAGAGATATATCCGCCGTAATGTCTGAATTGGATGGTACACTATCTTTATTTAAGTTTTCAGCTTTTAAAGAGGGGATTTATAAGTTTTGAAGTCTTAAATTTGTAGTTCACTAACGGGTGTACTAATCTAAAGTTTTTTTTTAGTTCTGAATCTAATTAAATCGGAATGGTTCTTAGCTATGTTTGATGAATATTGGTTCAGCTGTTTAAAGATTTCCACCGCCGTTAGTTGAAAGGTGACATAAAAAAAAGTTATGTATACTATTTTTATTTTTTATAGGAAGACATATGATGAATGGAGATGTATGATGAATTTACCGCAAGAGAAAAGTCGATATTTTTTTATTTAATTTCTTTAAACATTATTTTCTCGGTTTCAATAAAATTAACGGCGGCAGATCAGCTCTTTTCTCTATTAGTGTAGGGATCGTAGTCATAAAATGAATATTTATTTTATTTTCACTCATACGATCGATTGAAATTTGGACCCAACGTGACCATTTTTTTTCCCCGCAGAGCGGGACACTTGTAAATTTATTATTGTTTTAAAAATAAACCACATGTTTATGATAGTTACGAAATATTTAATGATTAAAAATAAAAAAAAGAACTATTCTTGTGTAGTTTGGTGAGCTGGCTGTATATATTTTTCGCTTTCGCGCCATAAAGCGGTACGTATG